CAGCAGGGCCAATCAGAGGGGGCAAGGGGGATTTGGGGCTCTCAGGTGTGGGTGGTCTCCCCATGGGAAGAGTGGAATACTTTTCCACCTTTTCCCCTTTTCCACCTCTTAGTTCAAATTAAATGGATTTTCGACTCCTTCATTCCAGTTTTCTGGCTGGCTCGGCCATGACCCATGTATTACCCACAGCATTCCCATCCTGAGTCCAAACCCAACACGTACCAGCTCCAGGGAAGAAAGGAACCCTGTCCCAGTGGAAAGCACAACAGTGGGAGCTCTCACACAGCTTTTGAGGAAACACCGAATTTATCCAGCAGAGAGAATGCTACAGTGTTCCCACTGCTGCCACGAGCTGCATCCTGAGCCGTGACAGCCATCTCCCCAGAGCTCCCTTGAAAAGGGGGTGTTCCCGTTCCCGCTGGAGCCTCTTGTCCAGCACTGACTGGAGGGTTTTCTGTGGCACTGCTGCAGTGTCCTGGGAGCCATGCTTTGGGCACCAGCGGCTCAGGGACACTTTCTGCCGTGCCACTTGCTGCTGGGAATGCTTTGCTGGAATTGCTTGGGCTCCCAGTTGTATTTCCAGGCTTTTCCTGTCCGTGGGTATCTGGTGAGTTCTGTGCATAGCCACAGCTCCAAGGCAGCAGGGAGACCTGTCTATGTGGGCTTCTCCATCTGGAGTCCAGCAGATCTCATGGAGGCTCTGGCAGGGATGGAGACCTTTGCTATAAATATCCCAGGTGTGAATATCTTCCTCGTCCTTCATAGCCAACTCCAGGGAGCATCCTGGACATGGGAACAGCTGCCTTTGCTGCTGGAGCCTCTTGTCCAGCAGTGTGCGGAGAGTCTGCCCAGATGGCTCTGCCGCAGGATCCTGGGAGACATGGATTGGGCACCGGTGGCTCCAGGACACTTCCACTTGCTTCTTGGAAGGAACGGGCCAGGTTCCAGTTGGAGCACAACACAGGTCACAGAGGGTCTGGATGGAAATGGAGGAGCCTTTCCGAGGGATGGACATTCTTGGAAGGGGGCAGGATCTCAACCGGCGTCGAGTTCTGCGGAGGACTGAGCATTTTCCAGCGGCAGATGTTTTCCAATGGATCAGGGATCTTGGGGGCGGGCTCCTGCAGGGCCGGGGACTCCCAGAGAAGCAGGAGGAGGCGCAGCAGGGCAGGTGGCCTCGCTCCAGCAGCTGCCCCAGGTCCTCCCACAACAGCTGCCACATCTCTGAGTCCTGCGGGAAGGACACCCCGGGCCACAGCGGTGTCACCAGGTCCTGCAGCTCCCGGGCCGCTGTCGCACAGGGGGTGCAGCCGGGGCCGCAGCCACAGGGGATGTACAGGGGGCTCCCGGGGGCAGCCGGGCCGTGGGGAGGGGTCTCCTCAGCCGGGGGGGAACCGGGAACCTCTGGAGTCGCTCGGCTGCGCCGGGACCCCCTGGCCCGGCCCCTGAGGCGCTTCCGTTCCTTCCAAATGCAGGTGGCCAGCAGGACGGCTGTACTGGCCACCAGCAGGACAAGCAAGGGGAGCAGGAAACTCATGGCTTCATCCATGTCCCATCTTGGCCACACTGGGAGCCGGGGGGGTGTGGCACGTGTCCTGTAGAGACACCGTGCTGATGTCACAGTGCTGTGGATGGGACACCTGTGTGACGTCACAGCCCCGCCTCACCCTGGTGCTCACAGCCCCAGGGCACACCAGTGGTTCCAGGAGCAAGGGGCTCCATGTGGATACTGCTGGCCCTCTGGAGCAGAACAGATGGAAGGATTCTCAGCAAAGTAGGACACAGTGATGATGAGGAGGATGATGGTCTCACTTCCTGGCTGATGGAGCCAGGGACATGGCTTGTCTCCAAGGAATTGGGCGAAGCTGTACTTGCACTGTGTGGTGCTGGGGAAGAGAAGGAGAGGAGCTGAGCTCATGGAATTCAAAATGGATGTGAGCTGTGTTTTCTCCCAGGGGCACACACACAGGGACATGCTGGAATGGAACTTTATTGCTCCATGGAGGGGTCCAGGGTGTCTTGGTGGCGTCAGTAGGTGCTGAAGACACCTGCTGAGCCTGGATGTGCTCCCAGTTTTTTGGCTTGTAGGTACCAACCCCTGCAGCAGAGGGATGTGTGAGGTTGGGACATGGAGACCTCCATGCACAGCCCCTTGTGCCCCACATCCCCCAGGTGCCCACCTTTCTGGAGGGGACTCCAGCAGCTGAAGAACTGCCAGTAGGTCCTTTCAGTTTTGTTGCCAGCCAGCCCATGGGTGGAGGTCACATAGGGACCCCAGGATGTCTGCTCCGTCTGGAAGCTGCCAGCAAAGGGAGTGGGCTCAGAGCTGGGTGGGGGGATGCAAACACTTCCCATTCTCTCCCACCCTCTGGCTCTCACCAAAAGATGTCAGGTTTCTCATTCCTTGCCACCTTCATCATGCAGAGCAGCGTAGAGTTATCTGGGACACACACTGAGGTGGAGTAATGGAAGTAGTTCTTCAGTGTGTTGGTGATGGAGAACTGCACCATGATGGAAGCTGTGGGCAGGGAGAGGGCCAGGGTGGGCACCTGGCACATCCCACCTGGCACAGGGCAGGAGTGTCATCCCCACGGGTCGGCTTCAGGTTGGAACCCCAACTGTCCCCAGCATTGGAGACAGGAACAGCTGTTGGCCTGGGGACATTCTGTTGGTGGCAGCTCAGCCCCGCCTACCTGCATTCAGGTATGACTTGCCCACGAGGGAAGGGAGCACCTGGGCTATGGCCATGGGCTGTTTGTAGTCCTGATTGTAGACCACGCTGAAGGCTTAGGCACAGTTCCACTTCTGAGGGGCGTAAAACTTGCTTGAGGTCTCCAGAGCCTGTGGAGGAGGTGGAAGGTGTCACGAGCAACCAGGGAGTGGAGCTGTGACCCCACAGCCCCTCTCCATACCTGCAGGGACAGCCCCATGCTGTAGATATCCATAATCATGCCATTTCTCCTCTCTTGCTCATCCAGGAAATCATTGTTCACCACCTTTAGTGCATCATGGATCAGATCCTGCTTGTCTGTGTGGTTGTAGGCGCACACCAGCTCCAGTACTGCCATGGCCCGGGCGTCTGTGGGATCCCAGTGTCACTGCCAGCAGCCTGGAGACACTGGGAGCAGAGTGGGCACAGCGGGGCTAGAGGGTTCCCTTACCCACACAGGGGGAGCTCTTGGGGCTCAGCAACTCCTTGGCCACGGCCTCAACTGCATCTTGGTTGTTGTATTCCTTCACCAGGCACAGGGCCAGGATGTCCAGGCTCTCTCCATACTAGGTGATCACTGCAAGATAAAGAGGGGGGAGCTGATGGGGTGCAGCGAGGGTGACTCCCCCCTAGTCCCCCAGTCCTTCCCTCATGTCCCTGTGTACTGTTTTTGCTTATCTCACCGTTCATTTTCTGCTTCAGGATAGGAATCAGGTTGAGGGTCTTCCCCCTGGCATGGAACGCCAGGGGTTCTGGCAGGATGAGAGGAGGGTGAGGACGTGCAGAGCCACCTGTCCCAATGTCATGTCTGTGGGGACAAGAGGAAACAGTGGTGGGATGGGACATGGCATCCTGAGAGCTGGCGGTGCCGAGCCTGGAGTACAGGGTCTGCTGGGATCAGGTGCACCCCCTCCCTACCCTGGGTTCTCCTCCTCTCCTTTCCCCACCTGTCTGGGCTCTCTCCACTGCGTTCTTCTTTATCTCCTGGAGCAGCCACCTGTGGATGTGGCCATGGGTGGCTCCAGCCAGGTTCATGGCCAACAGGATGCTGGGGTTCGGTGGCTCGTCAAACTTGACAGATTCCTCCATGCGCTGCAGCAGATTCTGGACCAGGTGGTGGTGGGTGACTGTAGCCTGGCACCCCTCTGCCACCAAGGGGAGGTCAGCAGGAGCCCTGTGCATCATCCACTTGTCCCCCTGCAGTGTCACCGGTCTGTCTGCAGTGCCACTGCAGGACTGGCACTCACCCCAGCCCTGCATGACCATGGCACTTGCCAGGGCCAGCAGGACCCCAATGCTGTAAGCCATGCCGGGCATCCTCTGTCCTCAGGAGAGCTGATCCACTCAGGGCAGCAGAGTCCCTCGGGCACTCATCTCTCCAGCTGTGCCCCCTGCTTTTATCTGCTCCTGGCTCCATCCTGTGGTCACCTGCCCGCCCACACCTGCTGTGCTGCTGCCACACACAGTGACAGCTTATCTGTGTGGTCATGGAAGGACCTGGAGGGTGGCACTGTCTCTGTGGGTTGAGTCAGACAGGATGGCACCTGTCTGACTGGTGTGATGTCTGGGATAAGACCACATGTCCTGGAGATGATAGAAGGGTGTGGATGCTGGTTTTTGGGTTGTTAGGAAGAGTTTGGATCCCGTCCCTCACAGCTCCTTCTAGAGATGGTGTCTGTGGAATCGTAAAATGGTTTGGGTGAGAAGGGTCCATCTGGGAGCAGGTCCAGACTGAAGGTCTGGCTGTGCAAGGCCCAGTGGGAGTAGGGAATGGGGCTGGCTGGAAAGCTGTTGGGACCCAGCTGGGAGGTGCTGGTGACTCCTGGCCAGAGATAGACTCACAGAATTGGGATTAGAATCAGCTGCAACCCCAGGCCACCACCTGGGGATTTCCGGGGAGAAATACAACTGGTGGCCTGAGGCTGATGCTAATTGGGATTGTAATAATCAGAGATAATTGCATCTGATTAATGCCATGAGAGCATGTGTGGGGATCAGAATAGGCTGAACTGAAGCACAGGACTGTGGCCAGAGGAACAAGTCCGTGGCTGCTGGGGAAAGGTTTTGTTGATGTCCAGGGGGTAATTGATTCCATGGAGTTTGAGAGGCAGTGTTTTTGTGTGGTGCTGGGGAAGAGGAGAGGAGCTGAGCTCATGGAATTAAGCAGGAATGAATTCCAGAGGGATGTGAGCTGTGTTTTCTCCCAGGCACAGACACACACACACACAGAAGGACATGCTGGAATGGAATTTTATTGCTCCCTGGAGAGGTCCAGGGTGTCTTGGTGGCATCAGTAGGTGCTGAAGACAGCCTGGATGTGCTCCCCGTCATGTGGTTTGTAGGTTCCGACCCCTGTGGCACAAGGATAAGTGAGGCTGGGACATGGAGACCCCCACCACAGGCTCCTCCCCAGCCCCGGGACTGGGCCCCTGCCCCACCTTCATCGAGGGCGTCCCCAGCACTGAGGAATTGCCAGTAGGTCCTGTCATCCGTGCTGCCAGCCAGCCCATGGATGGAGGTCACATAGGGACCCCAGGATGTCTGTTCTGTCTGGAAGCTGCAGGAGAGTTGAGGAGGCTCAGACCTGAGTGGGGAAATGCCAAATCCCACCCCCCAAAAGCCACCCTGGCTCTCACCTAAATATTTGGGGGTTCTCCTCTGCTGCCACCTCCATCACCTTGAGAAGAGTGGAGCCACTTGGGACTGTCACTGTGGTTGAGTAGTGGAAGTGTTTTCCCTGGAGCTCGTTGGTGATGGAGTAAGTCACCTGGATGGGAGCTGTGCAGGGAGAGAGCGGCAGGGGGGTCACCTGGCACACCCCCTGCGGGCACAGGCTGGGAACATCATCCCTGCAGGGTCTGGGGGACTCCAGGTGGGATCAGCGTACCTCTGGGAACACCGTGTGTCCCCAGCATTGGAGACAGGGACAACTGTTGGCTTGGGGACGTATCCTGGGTGTCAGCGCAGTCCAGGCCAGCCACATCCAGGTAGGACTTGCCCACCAGGGCTGGCAGCACCTGGGCGATGGCCATGGGCTGCTGGTAGTCATGGGCGGACACCACGGAGAAGGCCTGGGCACAGTCCCATTTCCGTGGGGCGTAAAACTTCCTTGTGGCCTCCAGTGCCTGTGGAGCGGGTGGAAGGTGGAATGACACATCAGGGAAGGGGACCAGGTGGCTGTAACACCACGCTCCCCTGGCACCTCTCCTACCTGCAGGGCCAGCCCCATGCTGTAGATATTTCCGATCATGCCATTCCCTTTCTCCTGCTCATCCAGGAAGCTGTTGCTCACTGTCCAAAGTGCCTCCTGGAGCAGATCCCGCACATCCTGGAGCTCCACATAGTTGTAGACACAGGCCAGCGCCAGTGCCACCATGGCCCGGGTGTCTGTGGGATCCTGGAGTCACTGCCAAGGTTTGGGATAGACCCCAGGAGCGGGAATGTGGGAGCAGAGGGGTTCCTTACCCACGGAGAGGTGGCTCTCAGGGCTCAGCACCTGCTTGGCCAGGGCCACCGATGGCCCCTGAGCACCACCCGCATCAGCCAGGCACAGGGCCAGGGCGTCCAGGCCCACGCTGTACAGGGTAGTTTTGGGAATCCCCTCGGACTCTGAAAGCAAAGAGTGGCAAGATGACAGGCTGTGGGGACAGTGACACCCCTAAGGCCCCTAAATCCCAACAAACCCAGTTCAGCCATCTCCTCATCTGTTTTCTGCTGCAGAACATGGATCAGGTTGAGGGTCTGCTCCAGGGCATGGACACGCTGCGGATCCTGGCAGGAGGAGAGGAGTGCAAGGACGTGCAGAGCCACCTGTCCCGAGGTCATGTCTGTGGGGACAAGAGGGCAGCTGGGCTCTGCTGAGCTGGGCACCCCAAAAACTGGCAGAAACAGTCCCTGAGGAGCTAGTGCATTCCCTCCTTTCCCTCCATACCTTTCTGGGCTCTTCTCACTGCCTCCTCCTTGAGCTCTTGGAGCAGCCACTTGTGGATGGGACCGTCACTGTCCCCCCCAGCCAGGTTCATGGCCAGCAGGACACTGGGATTTGCTGCCTCCTCGAGATTCACAGATCCCTCCAAACGCTGGAGCAGCTGGGAAACCATGTCCTGTGGGGCCACTGGAAGGAGAGGAGAGGTCACCAGGATCCTGTGTCATATCCATGTTCTCTTCTGGTTCTCCATGTTTGGCTGGCACTCACCACAGCTCTCGGTGGCCGTGCAGCCCACCAGGGCCAGCAGGACCCCGATGCCCAAAGCCATGCCAAGCATCCTCCTGGAGCCAGCTGACCCACTCAGGGTGGTAGAGTCCTGTGGGAATTCAGCTCTCTGGGTGTCCTCTCTGCTTTTAGCTGCTCCCAGTGTCCTTCTCCAGTCACCTGCCCTCCCACAGCTGCGCTGGCTCTGCCAAGCACCACTGGCTTATCTGTGTGTCCAGTGGGGGAGGAGGGGCAGTGATTTTCCATTTGGGATCACTGGGGACCGCTTGGACCATGTCCTGGGGTGACTTTATGATACTGGTATCCCCAATCGTCTGGTTTATGTTATATATTAAGTTCTGCACCTTTAAGACTGGCTTTGAGAGCAAGAGAGGGAGAAGAAGAAGCGCGCAATTTGTGTTAAGGAAAAACATCACTCCCACACATCCCGCTCCTGGACTGTGGTGTCTGCAGCACGGACAGACAGCGGGACAGAGCTTCTCTGGCTTTTAGTTAGTTCTAGCTAGCTGAGGCAGGAGTTCCCTGGACCTTTGTTTGGTTTTTTTCCCCAATTTTCTTGGATCTGTGCAAGCCTGCTCTGGACTGAACACCCAGCCAAACCCTGGGAGCTCACGCCTTTGGCCCACCGGGGCCTGGGCCTCGGCACTTTCCAGCGCCAGAGGGACTGATAAGAACCTGAGCGAGCCGAGCTACACCACATGAAAAGGACTTTTTTCTTCCTAGATTTGCCATCCCATCGAACAGCAAGAGGTTTTATTATTTAATATTACTCAATTTCTGTTAAATAAACAGCTTTTTCCACTTCTCTCTAAGGAATTTTTTCTTTTCCCGGACCAGTTAGTGGGGAGGGGCATTTCCCTGGGGAAATCCCCATTTGGAGTTTTCCTTCCTAATTTGCCCTGAACTAAGACAGACCACTTCAGTATCCATGAGGCTGTGATGTTGTATGGGATTCATCCCAGTATGTCCCAGGAGGAACCATCTCAATCTTCCACCCAAAGTCTTGGAAACCTGAGAAGCTCCGTTGCTGGCTGGGCATTCTCCAGCTGTATCCCGCTTGGACTCTTCCAGGAAATTCCAGCCCTGATAATCTAACTTCAGTACTAAGAAAAATGGTTGAGAAGGTCATACTGGACCCTGCTGGGAAAGCAATTCAAGGACAATGCCTGCATCAGGCACAAGCAGTTCAGGATAAGGGAGAGAAATTCCCGTCTAACTGGTTTCTTATCCTGCTGCCATACAGTCACCCAGCCCAGAGGTGATGGGAAGACAGAGCCTGTTCATTTCTGGAATTGTAGTGTGAGTTTTGTCCCTGTCCCTCACAGAATGCTTCTGGAGGTGTCCTGTAACAGGAGAACAGCTAGTCTGTTCCTAAAAGGAGGAGGGGTTTGGCTACAGAGAGCCAATCCCTGACAAAAGCATAAGCAGGCTGCTGTTGGTCAGTGAGCTGGGTGGTAACCAAATCACAGCCAATCAGGTTTGAACGCGGAGTCTTTGAATAGCCTACATAAAGAGCTGTGCACACCAATAAACGCTCTCTGTTGCCCGAATTTTGGCATGTCATGTCCTGTCTCCCTCTCCCCTGACCACGACATATGGTGACCTCTGACATGAAGATGGTAACTAAGCCGTGAGAAAACAAAGGAGATGGAGTGACAGAGAGGAGCAGCTGGGAGCTGTGAGGAAAATACAGTCTAGAGAGCTGTGTGAAAGAAAATCCAGAGAGCTATTAGCCAGAGAGGTGTTACAGCCAGAGCTGCAAAGAGAACAGCCAGAGCTGTGTGAGGGGAAAAAACAGCCTACAGAGCTGTGTGAAAGAGATAGCCAAAGAGCTACCAACAGCTGAGGAGCTGTGACCATCTAGAAGAGGACATAAAAGGGTGAGCTGCTGCTGGGACATGGGTAGTACAATTTCTGCAGAAGATCGAGCTATAGTGAATATTTGGAATTTGATTTTAAGTAAAAGAGGGGTTGCGAATGATAAAAAGACTCTAGAGACTTTATTACAGTTTTATAGGATCCAGGGTGTAGAAATCACCACAGATGCTGCCTTTAATGTTAAAATCTGGGAAAAAGTCAGCTGATTGCTATTTGACTTCGCTTCTAGAGGCAACAAAATTGCTGAGTGTTTTAACTACCTGGAGAACTTTAATGGATATGTTAGAATTTATAAAATATGAAAAAAACCGAAAAAGCAGCTTCTAAGAAGCCTATGCCAGTCGCCCAAGATGGCAGACACCACATGGCACTGGAGTCACTCACCCAAGATGTTGGACACCACATGGCACCAGAGTCATTCACCCAAGATGGCAGTCGCCGCATGGCATGGGATCTGCCCGCCTAAACATCCTGAGATGGCAGAACACTGAGGGTAGCCTGTGGGGGAGGGGATGCCAGGCTGGGCACATGGAGGGAACGGCCGAAGGGGGAGCAGCCATTGTTTGGGCTCCCCAGCCCCGCAGTGCTGGCGCGCCACAATAGCAGGGTCAGAGCCCCCCCACCACAGGCACCAAAGGTGTGTGCCCAGCCCATGTGGTGGCCATCCCCCAGGAGCACCAGAAGCCGCTGCAGTGCCCACACTGTGGCAGGAGCTGTGACAGGAGTGCCTGCTGGACCCACTCATCATTTCTTCAATGCATTGCTATGGAAACACTTGGGCTGCCTCTGCTTCCAGATGAGTGGTGCAGTCCTGGAGCCCTGCTGATAGCCTGGCCTTCACTTGACACACCCTGTGCCCCCTGGAAAATTGGGAAGCATCGCAGCGCTGGAAGTCGGAGACAAAGCCAGCAGCTCCGAAGCCATGGCCCCTGCTGGTGCTGGAGGCATCTGCATAACCTGCACAGTGACTGCTAAGACACTGGCATCAAAAATGCCTGCACGGCAGTCAGGATTGCCCCTGCTGCGGTACCGGGGACCCCCTCCATGGTGTCTGCTGGAACCCGAAATAATGCCGGAAACTGGAAGTGTGTTGGAACCTGGAGGTGTAGGGACCTCTGGGGAGCAGGTAAAGCTGCTGGGGACACGGGCAGCTATTGTCTGGTTGGCCAGGTGGCAATCAGGACTAACCATGTAGGCTTTCAAAACAATATAAGGAGAAGAGCACTTAATAAAAGTTGGCTGTTGTGCATGAACCTCGGTGTGTTTTCTCACGTGCCTGTCTCCAACATCAACAATAAGTGGTTACACCCGACGTGACGCAACAAGCTGCCACACATACTGCGGGGAGAGAGAGGGCAGCGGAGATTGCTTCCTGCAGCCTGTAAGGCTGCAGAGAGTGGTGGGGGAAGCCGTGGGGCAGCGGGAATTTCTGCCTGCAGCCTGTACGGCGGTGGGGAGAGGCACGGTAGTCCTGGTGGAGCAGTGGGTATAGCTGTGAGCAGTGGAGAGAGTTGTGGAAGGCGGCAGAGAAAGCTGTGTGGGTCCAGACCCTTTGTGAATAGAAGATGCCACTGGTAGATGTGGGAACATAGGCTTCAGTCAGGAAGACCCTGATATTAAGATATGGACTCTTCTTTTAAAGAAACAAAGGATAAAATATGGTGAGTGGGCTTTGCTAGCCTTGCTAATGTGGTCCAAGAACCACAGACTGGACGTGACTGAATGAGCCATCCTAGACTTGAGAACATGGGAGTGGGCTGGCAGATTTATAATTGCAGCAGCCTCCATAGGCAATGAGACTGCCATTAATGTAAAAAAGCCCTGGAGGCTCATTGTGAACTTACTAAAGCAGTTAAAAACCGAGCGTGACACGATGACAGCAGTGGGGATGCTGTGGGTGCCGCCCAGCAAGGCCGGTGACAAGGACAGGGCACCAGGAGCAGCAGCAGGAGATTTGGATGCTGCACTGAGTCCGTGGGAGAGGAGGACAGGAGAGACAACCATGTGAAATAGCGCTGCCACTCCGTACTGGGATGTCTCGCGAGTATAGCTTCCTGCAGCTGTACAAAATCACACTGCTGCATTGTGCCGAGATGTTTCTCCAGCAGAGCACCACAAAACTGCATTGAGCTGTGCTTCTGCTCTGTGCTAGGACACCTCGCCAGTGGACCGCTGTGAAGCTGCACAGAGCCGCGCTGCTGCCCCATGCCAGCATGCCTCGCCAGCAGAGTGCCATGAAGCCAAGCTGCACCACCGCCCCGTGTCAAGATGCCTTGCCAATGGAGCACCCTGTGGCCGAACCAGGCTGCTGTGGAGCCACACCAAGCTGCTGCAATGCTGCATCAAGCTGTGGAGGCGTGTTTGCCGCTGTGCCATGCCTTGCAGCTGTGTCAGACAAGAGCTCTGCAGTCACACTGGACTGCTGCCCCTGCAGCAGCTCTCAGGTCACCTGTCCCAAGTATGCCTGTGCAACTGAACAGCACGTACTGGAGCCACATTTGTCCTTCGCCACCATGGGCACACTCAGGCCACCTTCTCCCAGAGCTGACTGGCTCGGCTCCGAGACCATGATCTGTGGGTGGACCCTGGAGACACGTCATGGATACCTGGAAACCAAGCCAATGTCAGACCTGAAAATGCCGGTGGATTGGAGGTTCCTAAAGCTGTTGCCACTGCACACGCACCGCCCCCACTACTGGAATCGGAGCAGCCCCTGTGATATATACCAATTTGGGACTCAACATACACCCACAGAGAGAACTGGAGCCAGCATCCCTTTGCCAAACCCTGAGAGAGCACCCAGTCTGGTCAGTCTCTGGCAACAGGTAAATTGAGTGGCTGTCGTGAGCAGAGATTATGAGGGAGCAGACAAAATTGACGTGCCCGTGTCCGGGGGTTGGGAGCCTGGCGGTGGGACTGTTGAAGCATTCTCTGTGCTGAGAGGCAGCGAAGCCGTGCCTGATAAATACACACCCTTCCAGTGGCCAATTCTTTCCAAACTACGCCAGCTCATCGCCAACATGGATTGAGGTCTTCTGCCATTGCTAACACTCTGTGATTTTTAACCACTGAGGAAGTAACACCTTTTGATATTAAGCAGCTAGCAAAATTGATTTATACCCCAGTTCAATATATAGTTTTGAGTCAACCTGGAGAAGCAGTGCA